CCGAGGCCGGCCGGACGACGGCCCGCCGCCGCCGCTGGCGCGGAGGCCCTGCCGGCACCAGCGCCGCCGCCGCTCGGCAACCCTCGACCCCCTTTCGGCGGCCGCGCGCCCGGCGGAAGGCGGGCGGCGCTCGGCCGGGGGGGACGAGGCCCCCTCGGCCGCCGCCGCGCCGCTTCGCCGCGGGCGCGGCCCCCGGCCGGGGCGACGGGCGAGCGACAAGCGGGGCCCGGCACGGCGCTACCGCCGACGGCGGCGGGCGACCCCCGGCCGACCGTCCCCGCTCGGGGGACACGCGCCGAGCGGCGACGCCGCCGCTCGGAAGCCGGCGCCCTCCGCGGACGGACGGCCTGCGGGGACGGGGACGCCGCCCGCCGGCGCTCGCCCGGGCGGGCGGGCGGTCGCGCGGCTCGGCGGCGGCCGCCTGCCGCCGCCTCGGGGGGGAGGCCGACGGCCGCGAGACGAGAAAGGAGCGCGGCGGGCCCGGCGGCCGCCACCCGCGCCGCCCCCGGCGGAGGGCACGCGCCCTCCGCCGCGGCGGCGGTCGCCCGTGGCGGGGGGGGCGGGCGGGACGGCGCGCGGCCGACCGCGCGCCGCCGCCGTCTTCTCCGCCGAGACCGGACCGCGGAGCGGGGGGGGCAGGGGGCCCCGCCCCGGCACGGCCGCCCGCGCGGCCGGCGGGACGAGCGCGGCCGGCGGACGCGGCCACCACCGCAGGGGATCGGCGGGAGTAGGCTCCCCACCCCTCAGTGGCACCGCGCCGCCGCCCGGCCCGCCGCCGCCCGGCCGCCGGCGTCCGGCCGCCCGAGTCTTTAAACCTCCGCCCGGCTCTCCCGGCGGCTCTCGGCCCCCCGGGGGCTGTCACGCAGCCCCGGGGGGGGCTCGCCGGTCGCCCGGGCGCCGAGCGCTAGGTACCTGGCCCTGGGACGAGGGAAACGACCTGCATGGCCCCGCGGGGGTGCCTCCCCCGCTGCCGCCCTCGGGGGAGCGTCCGCCCGCGGGGGCGCGCCCGACGTCCGCCACCACCACCGCCGCCTCCTGGCTCGGGGACCGGGGTTTCCCTCAGTAGCCCGGCACCGCACCCGAGAGGACGCCTGCGGCTCGGACCGCCCCGCCGGCGCGGGGACGGCCGACCGGCGACGGAGCTCGCCCCGCGCGCCACACGCGCCGACGACGGACGGCGGCGGACCGCCGCCGCCGCCGCCGGCGCGGAGGACCGCGCGCGGCCCGGAACGCCCCGCCCGGGCCCTCCTCGCCCCGCCGCCCCTTGGGCCCGCTGCGGGCGGAGGGTCGGAGGAGCCGCCTCCCCGGAAGGCGCCCCGGCGCCCCCCCTTCGCTTTCTCGCTTTCGGCCGTCGCTCGCCGGGCGCCGGCGGCGCCGCTCGCTCCGCGCGCGCCCCGGGGGCCGCCCGCGCTCGCCGCTTCCGAGCCCCCCCCCGCCCGCTCGCCCGCGCGCGCGGGGGGAAGGACGGGGAAGCGACCGAGGCGCCGACGGGCGGGGCGCGGCGGTGGCGGCGGCGGCGGGACGCCGGCCGCCGAGCGACGAAAG